TAATAATAATAATAAACTGCAGTAACACCAAGGCCATGATAATAGCTCCTCCCGATATGCATTCAAATACTTACAATGACTGAAACTAGCCAACTGAATAAACAATGGACTTTGAGCTTGGAAGACACCTAAAGAAAGAACACACTGTTCCAAAAATTGGTCCACCCCAAGTTGCACTTAACTACCATAAACTAATTTAAGTCTATTAAGTGGAACCAACTAATCAACCCAGTGACGCAAAGTTCCATACTGACAGAAGATGGCGCTAAACATGTTTTTAAAACGTTAACTAAGCACTTATTTCTTAAGTCCAACTTGACAGACAGTTATAACTATATGATTTTTTGAGAGCAGGGCTCAGTGATGTAAAATTTTATGTGAGTTTCACGTCCTATTTAAAGTGGGCTGGAATGATACCTGGCCAAAGGTTGTGGTCACGGTATTCAGGAACTAGTAGTGCTACTGAAGATGAATGAGGATAATGGTACTTTTTGTTAATGGTAATTAAAAATACTTAACTGACCAGGTAATTCCAGATGCAACATTTCAGCAAAAACACAAACTGTGCGCTGTTTGTCATACTGTGTGTCTGCTAGCTAAAGGTATAGCTGCTGCATTTCCCAGAGAGAGAAACGAATGAGAGATAAAGGGGTTACATTTTAAGATAAGGACTGCTCAGTTACATCTGATAGGCTGGATATTTAAAGCTTACATGTAATGTGTTATATAAGTCAGATACTCAATCTGTATATGATGCAAAGTTCAGCATTCTGAAAAACAAACTGACATATTGTCAAACATATGTTGTTTTGCTGTGATGAATTTAAAGTAAAGAACACTATGTGCTCTTTACTTTAAGTAGTCATTAGTTTAGCTAATAATTAAAACTCATGAAGTCTCAAAAGCACAGTTTCTATCTAATAAATGCTCCTTTGACTTCTCACTTGTTGGTGAAAAGTTGGTGGATTTGGTCTGGCAGGATACTCTTTATTGTATTGTTCAGTAAGTAATGTAATAAATTATTGAATTACAGCACGTGTACTAAATCTGCTTCCTTCTCTCCCTCATTCAGTTTACAACCTGAGTGTCTTTCTGGCGCTTACATTCCAGGCTCATATCAAGATGCAACACCATGCACACATTATATGTACAAATAACTATTTAATTCATCAGCTTGATTGCCAATCAGTCACACTGATCAAGATGTAAATTTCTGGACCAACATGATCCAATTTTAGACAGATTTAGAATAGAATAGAATAGAATATTCCTTTATTGTACATGTACGACGAAATTATGGGGGCTCCACTGAGTAAAACTGAAAACTGAACAGATGATTGATCTGAATTGCAAAACTTTGGCTGATTTTTTTAAGTGCCCCATTGGTCCAATAATTAACACGTTGCTTAATATTGACTTCATATTCTCAGTTTGACAGCTGAATGTTTCAAATACAAATGAGTTACTAGTTACTCTGAAAAGAAGTTACCTGAGAGAATAGAATAGAATCCACCAGCACAAATAAAACCACCGTGGCAAGTGTCGATAGCCCCTCCCCATTTCTTCTTCCAGACCTCTGGGCTGATGACAGACACATCCACCACTCTCAGCCGGTTAACCACTGGACTATCCGTTCTAGTCCCACCCAGCCACATGGCACTTGCCATTTTGCTTTATTTCCATTTCAAGAGTGGGAAGTTGTAAATTGTGTGCGTTTGCTTGGCTTTACTGGCCTTGACAGCTGGAGATGGAATAAGAAAGTAAAAAAAACAAAAAAACTTCAGTAGCTCAGTAGATTTCTGAAGTTGAATCAAAGACATATGAGAGAAAATGACAATACATTTTTTTTAAGCTTGCAAAATGTTTTATACAATTAAATGTATCAAAAATATTCTAAAGGAGCTGTTCTGACTGGGATTACAGGTGTGACAACTGTTACATATTAATGGAACATTTTTACATTTCTTATCTCAAATTGCCTTGGAGAAGGATTGATTACTTACCCATCATCACAGTGTGCAGCAGTAACTACAAAGTCCTTCCTAACAGCAATCCTCCACAATCGTGACCGTAGTTGCTCTGCACCAAGGTCATATACAGTAGGGAATTCTTTGGGGGCTTTACCCCCCATTTATAACTTCACTTCCAAGCACTAAGGGCACTGGGAGAAAATTAATATAAGTTAAAGGATCAATATTCAGTTTTTAGTTTGCAGAAATGTATTAATATGTTGAAGTCGATCCTTTTATGTGGTTTGTACTTACGGACTTTTATCAATTTTATCACAGCTTTGCTGAAATCCTTTCATAACTGTGGTTTTCCAAAATATGTGTTTGAAGTTATCAGCATTCATCAAAAACACATGATTTAAGTTAAAGGCGCTGATCAAAACTCA